ATCTGAAAAATTTAAATAAGTCAGGAACATTTCAATATTTAACAACTAGTATTTGTGTATATCATGCAGTGTTGTGTGTATTATTTTCTGTGTGCATGTGCAGATATAACTTTCATACTTACTTTACATAAAGTAATAGGGTACCCAATATCAAGTAAATAGCAAATTAATTGAATTTCTCTTTGTACTTGAGCTTTGCTAAAATAAGACTAATAAAAACACTGAATGGCTACACATATGACCTATAAGAAAAAACTTTTATTCTTGAAAACAGCATTAAAGTTACTCCATACCAATTCCAGAATTTTATCACAATAATTCAGTTCACATAAAACAATGATGTAAATATACATTGTAATTTCTTAGTAAGGAGGACAATGCTTAATGCAATTCTTAAATGTTTCCATAATTAATATCAATTGCACAACATGGGTTCCTTAGATGTTTACCAACAGCATTTGATACAATTTGTTTGTGAGTTCCTAACTGAGAGAAATACATTGTTCAGGTTCTCTAAAAGACTTCCTTGTCTCTCTATAGCCATTTTAAAAGTAAAGGCAGGTATTTATTCATTACATACTCCCATTAGCTCTCTAAGAACTTTATTCATAAATTTTAAAGCAATTTTCCATTATATCATAATATTAGAATGGCTAGAATTTGTGATTATGTGCAAGCAATGTCTACAAAAGCAAACTATAGTGGAATATTTACTTGTTATCACTTGGTTCTGGGTTCTATTGCAATTGTAACTTGTAATTACCAAACAATGTAGAACTCAGATCTTTTATATTCCCAGTGTCTTATTTTCTGGACCCAAAGTATTCAATTGCCTCAGATCTTCAATGCATTTCCCCTGTGTAAATATAAGAACAACAAAATAAAAAAAAAGTTTTGCAAAATTATAGAATACCATAGTATTTCATATAAAAGATAATAGAGCCAATTTCTTTAATTTTTCCTTCTCCAATTATATTCTATAAATCACTAGAAACTAAATAAAATAAAGAAAATAATACAATAAAATTAAATTAAAATTTACACACACATAGCTTTTGTAAAAAACAAATAAGTTATTAAGGTTCATTTAATCTCCCATTTGGTTTTAATTTAACAAAAGAGAGATCCCCTAGAAATCTGCAATTGAGAGATAACAATTGTCAGTTAAACTTGAAACTATCCCTAGTAAGGGACATTGCCAACAGTTCAGTTCAGTTAATCTGACCTGTAACTAATTGAATGAACACTGAACATGAGTATGGCTCTTGACTTGATGTCACTTGTCTATACTGGAGTGGTTAAGAACCTTGTGCTTCTGATCTATATTGTGCCAAATTCCAGCACAGTTTATGTATAGTTATAAAGCCACAGAAATCTCATTTTATACTTCTGTGCACTCTTTTTTCAATTAGCTTAAGAATACATGATTTAAAATCACTTTATGGCATATGAGTCTTTCAATATTTTTTCTGCACTCAATTTAACAATAATGCAATTAGTGCATTTTTTTCAACCACAGAAAATATATCAAGTAATTGACTGATATTTTTGGTTACCTTAAAAGAAGCTAAGTTAAAAATAGTCATTATGTGTGTAAGCAACTTGAAATTAGTCAAGCTTGCTATGGAATGTAGAGGTTCTGAAGTTTCTATGAAAATATTTGAGTTGATAGTTCAGATTGAATACTAATATTTGCCTATTTGAAGTTATGTTGGATTCTAAATGATGAGAATACAGAAGGATCATAGAATGTTGATTTTGACACTGTCTGACAACTGTTCTCTGAGGGACTGCCACTACAAAGGAATAAAATTGAAACTACATTTATAAAGGAAAAAATCTTTTAACAGAGGCTTAAAAATTAAGTTGAGTGTGAACAGTATTATAAAGCTATATATATGTATATATATATGTACACACACATATATATCACCCTTAAATTTGAGTTATATAATCAGTTTGGTGACTGTTTTATTTATTTTTTTCTGAAAAACAATGAAAAGATAAATATACTTAACAAACAGTGGCTTCAGAAATAACTTTGTACCAAACAATTTTATTAATGGTTCCAGAAAAATGACATCTAATAAATTCTAATACCTTGGTGTAAATCAAAGCAAACAAAATTCATTAGAACTGTTCTTTCTGTGATTTACATTAGATTTTATAGCATCACCTGCTTTTATTAATTAATCTAAAATAGAAATAATTGAACCAGGGTAAAAACAATATAATACATACTCTCTACTTTATTTCAAAATAGTAACTATAAATACATTCTTAATATATTTTCTTCCTAACTCTTTGGATGCAATGATGAGAAAAAATTAAAGAAAAAAATGAAAGATGAAAGAAAATCTCACTGTGCTCATTTCAGAAACGATCCATGTAAGTCTTGCAAATGATATTTTAGATAAATATTATCACTATACATTTCTATATTGACTTTGATATTTCTGAAATACCTGTGGCATTACTCATGAGGCCATGTCCTTTAATATTTTTGCTTCCTTATGGAGCACAAAACTAAAGGTTTATGAAAAGCAACAAATGGTAATGGTCTGTAATATCTTTTCAATTAACATATTTGTTGATAGTGTTATTTAGAATAGAAAACTAAGTATTGGATATAAATTGCCTTATGTATTTGAATCACTGTACTTTAATAGCTGCTTTCTCATAAAATTACACAAAGATTTACTTTTAAAGAATTGAATCATTTTTATTGATTTCATAAAAAAATAATTTAAAACTTGATTTATATTACACGAACACAATATATTATCTCACCCCTTCACTGATTTCATAAGATCTAGTGTTCTCTGCAACTGTTCTAACACAGTTCATACACAAGAATACAATGCCAAGAAGACCATGATGTGTTATTCCACATTAGAGATGATCACTTCTTGGCTTTTTAAGATTTGAATCAAAGCCTACTAAAAAAAAATGTTTTACCATGTACATATCATATCTGAAGGGGTTAAACTACATCAAGAATATAGGCTGAAGCCAAAAAACACAGATACAGTATTTAAACTGCTCTTGTACTCAACTAAGAATTTATACGTAACTACAGTACCATAAATGATACAAGAACTAATGATAGACAGGTGCAAAATAGCATACACTGTATAATGTAGGCACAATGACTTTAGTTAAGGATAGCATATTAGCCTTAACCAAGAATTCATTAACTTCCATTTACAAGTAGAACCTCCAAATAAGCACATACAGTTAAATTACTCTTTTTTTCTTAAAAGTTTTTGAGCATTTATAGCTTTCAGCAGTAGAGTGTGAGATAGCTGATATACTACAGCAAGCTTTGAGATTGTGGTAGGTACTCTTGCCGCTGACAATTCTGCAGAAACCTTGAAACATCTTCCAAGCATCATCACACTGAATAAAAAGGCATGATCCCAACAACCTATTAGTCCCAGATTACGCATGGAGTTTACTGGTTCCTCCTAAGTGTCCATTTAAGATTTCTGAATTCACACTTTATTGACAGGAAAAACAAAAACACTTTGTTGGAAGCCTTCGCATCTTTATCTTGTCAGTGTGCATTAGGAGCCCTTTAATCCATGGATGCATGCATGCATGGTAATGGCATATTAAATGTCCTTATGAAACTGCAGATGAAAATTAGCATTTGAACGCACTTTTCTTTCAATATCAGAAAGCATTGTTTGTTTGGATGTACTTATATTTATATAAAGTTTCACAGATTGTCATGAAACTGAAAATTACACATTAAAGTTTTAAGAGCACCAGCACATACATAGGGAGATTTTATTTGCTATCTAAAAAAAAACCCACCAAATTAACTATATATATGAATATACACCCAAATACACATGCGTGCACACACACACATATACATACACTTGTAATAATATCAGATTTTCTTTAAAAAATTGGAACCAACAAATAAAATCTTGAAATTAGTATTTAATAAAGGGACTGTTGTTACAACGTTAACTGTAATATCCTTTTAGAAGCTACACCAAAATATCTGCTACTTGAAATTCATGAAGAATACCTGTTTGCTTTCTTGGCTTCCTTACTGAATAATACAATAATTAATCACACCACAACACACACACACACACACACACACACACACAAAATTGGACAAGAAGGCAAAGGCAATGAGTTTCAGAATATTGATTTTCTAATCAGAGATATTAAACATCTTCAGATATCAACAAATTATCAAATACTTCATTCATTTGATCAATTTTGATCTAGAACTTAACAGCACACACAAACACAGGGGCATATCAGCTGTAGTTGTAGATCATGAATTCATCTGAGTCCAGTGCAAGCATTTTACACTGTGGCTTTGATAGCCAAGATTTGCTGTGATGTTTACAGTTCTACTAGATTATCTGATAGTAGTCAGAATGATGAAAGAACAGGATATTGATGCATACAAGATGTATTAACCTTAGTCATTATTTTGTTAAATATTGTAATTAAAACTATTTGAATTAAGCTCATAGAATCCTGAAAAGCAAGACAATTGATGGCAAATAACAACTGCCCCAGACACAATACTATAAAACTAAGCAGCTTATTTTAAAATGCACAGTTGGTAACAAATCTGAAGATAATACGCTAAATTCACAAGAAGAGCACAGATTTTTTTTTTAAATTTTGTGGGTATTTTTTGTATTTTTTTTCTACTTTTAAATTACACCTGATCAGAAAGCCCAAAATATTTCTGTACACATTAGCTTCAGTTTCATTTTAATGTTTTTTTTTTCTTATCGCAATTTATACTTACTGATAAATTTGCTGTGATCAGGAATATAAGTCGGGCATATTAAATACATATTAAGGAGTACATGTTCTCCTATTTAGTATATAAAGTACTTCATAAATGTGAATTATGTTACAAAAATAGCTTTGGGTGCGCTCACACGGTAAGCACTTTGCTAATTTGGGACAACCTTTAAGGATTGTGGGTATTTGACATAACTGAGAACAAACTCTTGTTTAATTTGAGCCATGTTTAATTCTGATAAACATCATATTTTTCTCTAGATCACCACAAATGCTATGCAACTCACATTGATTTTTTTCTCCTTTAGGATTTTATATATAGACAGGTAATATTTAAAGTGTTCAAATTTATTTTATAGTTATGTAATGCATGATATATTTTAAACAAGTATTTGCACAATTTAACATTATAAATCCAGCAGTTTCAAGATGCAGGCCATATATTTTACCAATTTACAAATACTATCAAATGTTCTCTCTTTGCATGCTTGTTTTGTACACTTTTCAGGTAATCTTTACACAGAGTTGTTACAATGCCACAAATCAAGAAGGGTTATTCCAGTTTCACCAACTTAATCTACGTGCAAGATGAAGGACCCAGCTGAGGTACAAACACTGGTACCAGTTTTCTTGAGTTTGCTTTACAAAGCAAAAAGAGACAAAGGTTTTGTATCAGAGTACAAAACTGATTTGCCTCTTAAGGTTAAATTCAGTATATTATATTTATAAAGCATCCCTTTGGCAATAGAGTTTGCAGTATCCCCACAGGACTCCACAGTATACGTTTTATGTAGTAAAATCTATTAAAGAAAGTCTCTTCTACTTGACACATCTTTAGAGCTACAGTTAATCAGATGCCCTTGGAAACACCTGCCTCTATGCCTAATGATAATATAGTATTTGGAAATTAGAAGTCAACAAAAGGCACTTTCATCATTAAATAATGTCCTCTGTATGAAGTCGGATTACATGGCCTATATCTTATTCAAAGCTGTTTGCTCCTCAAGGACCTGTAGGTAGTCAGGGGAACTCTGAAGTTTTGCCTTCAGTTCAAAATACTCACTCTTCCTTTGTTCCACAACAATTTTGCTGTGGTTACCACCTATCAGTGACTTCTTGTTTTTTTTATCTTGTTTTTCTGGATAGCGAATCTCAAAGCCACTGACACCAATGCTGTTATACTCCTTTTTGCTTTCAAGAAAATTTTGAATAAACACATTGGAATCTCTGCTTGGGAATAGTTCATCCAGCTCATCAATTGTGCTCAGTCTCTTCCTGGTATCTACATGCAGTAAATCTTTGTCTTTGTCAGCAGCATTTCTCATCATGACCTTCTGCCCCGGAGGATCTGAAAACATGAACCCAGTTTCAGACTCTTTCAGGCCACAGCTGTGACTCTTGCTCATCTGTTCTATGGTTTGTGGAATGAATGCTTCTGTGCTCTGTCCATCTTTTTTATTGGTTTTGTGGTCATGCTTCCTTAGTTGCAGCTGCATGGAGCCACACTCAGGATTCCCCAGACCTTCGTGCTTCACTGTGGGTTTCTTGTTGCGTCTCAGCACAAAAACAAGAAGGCAAAATGCAACAAACACAGTTAAAATGAGGACCACCAATATGCTTAAGATTAAAATAGACAGAGGCACTGGACCCCCTGGAGGACTTCGAATGGGACCCAATGGAGTGGTAAATGTAATTGCAGGTGGAGGGCTTGTGAATGGTGAAGATGGCTTGTTTAAGAGTTTAGGACATAAGATTTCATTTTTGAGGGACTTCAGTTCAATGTTGGCAAACTGAACAGGAGTCTCACATTTCAGTTCTTTCACAACAATCCCATCATTTAGCTTCTCTAGCCACAGCTTTAATGCTACCAAGTCACAAGTGCAGTCCCAAGGGTTGCCCTCCAAATCAATCTGGGTAAGAGACTGCAACTGATCAAGGACTCCACTGACAGGTAAGTACATGAATTTGTTGTTCCTCAGGTTCAGTCTAGCAAGGGGTGCTCCAGAGAAAATGTAAACTGGCAGGCTTTTTAAGAGATTGTTGTTCAGGTACAGTAGCTGCAAATTGGGCATGGAGTCAAAAGTGCCTGCTAAGATTTCCTTAATCAAATTGTATTCCAAATACAGATACTGCAGGTTGTGAAGGCCTGAAAATATTTCAGGGTACAGCCTTTCGATTTGGTTGCCATTGAGATAAAGCCTGCGCAGATTGGTAAGATTGTGGAACACTTCACCTTTGATCACTGTGATTTGATTGCTGCCTAAATGGAGCAAATCCAGTCCTTCAAACTCCGTGAAGTCTGAAATGTCCACATCTTTGATGTTATTGCCATTGACATGCAACTTCTTGGCATTTAAAGGTTTTGGTATCAGTTCAGACATGGACTGTATATTTTTCTCCTGGCAATTCACACTCAGTCCTAAATCAGAAGGATGTGTTTTGCAAAAGCAAGGTGCTGGGCAAGGTGTAAGAGGAGGCACTCTTGTTTGGTATGACACAATTTGACTGAGATTTCGGTTGGAGAGGGCTTTGCCTGCCACTATTCCAGAGATTTTGGAAGGATTTGTTGTTTTGGGTGGTTTGGTCACTAATCTGTGCAAGGTTGTTTGAGTAGTGTGACCATTTGGAGTAGTGAAGCCATTTTCCAGTTGAGATGGGGGCAGAATGCGAACGTCAAAATCACTCCCTGTGCCCATGGGGCATAATTCTTGCTTGTTGGTTTCCTTTAAAAGCCTTCCATACAAGTCACTGGGAGTTTCACAGATAGCTTCTCCTATGTAAATGTTATATGGCATATTCTCCAACCAAGCCTTTAGAGGCAACAAATCACAGCTACAGTTCCAAGGGTTATCTTCCAGCTGCAATTCAACAACCCGGCCAATATGTTCCAGAACTCCAATATAGGGGAGTTTCTGGATTCTGTTTCCTCGTATATCCAGATGGGTTAAAGATGCGAATCGAAAAATATTATCAGGAAGGAACGAAATCAGATTGTCATTAAGAATGAGAACTTTCAGTTTGTGGAGCTTATTGAAGGCTCCTCGTTCAATATACTTGATTAAATTGTAGTCAGCCTGGAGATACTCCAAGTTCTCTATGCCAAGGAAAGTGTCAGCTCGGAGAATCTTTAATTCATTGTTGTTCAAGTGCAACTGCTTTAATGCACTGAGCCCAAGAAAGGCTCCTCCCTCAATGTTCTGCAGCTTATTATTTCCCAAATGCAGAGAAACTGCATGTGAAAAATTCACGAATGTATTTGGATAGAGAATATTTAAAAAATTGTTTTGGAAATTGAGGTGATAAAAATTAGACCAAGGTGGTTTCAGCTGGTTTGGCCTGTAGACTGAAACCTTCTCACAGTTGACATAGAGCACATTCTCTACTGACACGCAGGAACACACATTGCAAATTTCCACTGATATGTCAGAATCAGTATTTGTTGAAGAAATCAGGGCTGACACAATCAGAAAGAGCCAAAGAAACATCTTCTTGCAATCAGCAAACAAATCTATGCTTCTGAATAAAGAGAAATAATCTAAAAAATAAAAAGAAAACAGTTTTTCAATGATCATTCCTTGAAAAATATATGTGTACTTAAATTATCTCATTGTGAATACATGGCTACAATCTCTAGCATTGTAATTTTTAAGGAAGCCAGATTTGTACACCACTGAACAGTACTTTATATCTGTAATTTGTGCATGTGTAGAATATACAACAAATGGTAAGAAAAGAGACTTTAAATTATACTTACATGTTAATAAATTCAATTTTTAACTTGAACCACCAAAATTTGCCCTTAAGCACTAACCTAGAGCTTGAAATTTGCAACTAAAATGAATATACCTAGAGCATCATTCATTTCATGTCCTCTACACCACAAACATACCACAATTGGTTTAAATCTATTCTCTAGGTTTCTGCTAGAAACTGAAATTAGTTAGAGACCATAATTGAACTCGGATTTCAGTGAAGGATGGCAGTGGGAGGACTGGATTCCTTTAAAGAAGACAGTTAAAAGAGCTACATGGAATGTGCCCTGGAAAGAAATTTGTCTGCGTTTTGGTACTTAGGTAAGCACATTGCCACGAATCAGTTAGCTCATGTAATCTGCTTTCAAAAGCACAGGTGACCCTATGGGGTTCTAGAAAACTGGAAGATTAATAAACAGCACCTTCTTTGCTGTCTGTCATTTCCAAAATAGAGTTAAAATGTTTTTTGTTTTGGGGTCCCTGGAAGCAGAAAAGGAACCAGCTTATTCTTGCACTGCTCAGCTGATTTCCAGGCAGAATTTCCACCCACCAGAAATGGCTTTTTTGCCTGTCTGGTCCTTTCCTGTTCTTCACTTGTCAGTTTGAACCCAGTCTCTACAGACCCCTTCATTTAAGCGCATATCACCTTCGCTTTGGTCACAGCCTGTCACTGCTGAGGAAGAGGAGTCCACATGTCACAGTCCTTGGGCACAGTCCTTGGGCACAGTCCTTGACAGAAGCAGATATATTCAATTCTAAATATTTCAGTTCCAAAACACCCTCCCTAAAAGATAACTTCATGTCCCTGCCTGTAAACAAATGAAGAATTACTTCTTGCAAGAGTTTAATGGCTCAAAAATTAACCCTTTGAAGCCAGCCCCATAAAAACCTGTGTGCACACACACATACGCGCGAGGAAGAAAGGGAGGGAGGGAGAGAGAGTTTCTGCCTCATGGAAAGGAAATTAATGGAACACATATGGGACACAAACAGTATGCATTTTATCATTTTACTGATGCAATTTTAGGCTTGTGAATCTTTCCAGTAGTGAATGGGAGGAAGCTGGCTTCAATTGTCATATGATCACCACCAAATATTAATTAAGTAAATAAATTCCTCAGCTAAACAATGAGAAAATGGGGCAAAGAAAAAATGTGTCACACAAAAAATCTTTTTTTCTTCTTCTCCTTTTCCTCACAAGGAATCAGCTAGTGGTAAAAATCAAATGTGACTCAAGGTAGACAATCATTCGCCAAGATCCAGGAAGGCTTTCATTTTAAGAATCTAGCCAGCGTCACGGAGATGCTATTTGTTTGCCATATAGGTGGGCATTTCCTTTATTCACTGTTATAGCATGACTGTCGTTGCAAAAAGAAGTCATAATTTTTTAAGCATGACATCACCCAAAACAACTTCAATTGCAAAATCAAAATTTCACTTGGTCCTTTTTGCCTTGTGTTGATGTAGCTTTCAACAGCTATTTTAGTTCAATTGAGTCATTTCTTGTTCCCAACCACCCCCACCCAAAAACAAAGAAACCAAAATGCAACCAAACTAAAAACAAACAAAACACAAAAAGCAAAACAAAACAAAATAAAATTCAAATAACCAGAATTCAGCACAAAAGCATAACAGATGTGAAAAATATATGAAGCTGCCCTCTTATTAGTAATTTCTACTTTAAGTAGCAAAGGGAGTGGGGGAGGCGCAAGGATGAGCTAGGAAGTTCCCAAATGCAATTCCAGTGAAACAGACTAAGCCAAAAGCAGCTGGATCAAACAAGCAAGGCAGAGTCAGCCCACCAAGGAGAGCCCAACAGGCAGTGATAGGGCAATAGATACTGAGAGCTGGAGAACTGTGGAAAACGAGGTTAGAAAAAAAAAAAAGAAGCCAGGAAGAGTAACCATAAGGAAAAGAGATGCCATTAATATATTCTAAAAATCGTGACAAACAGCAAAAATACACACCAAGAAGAAAAAAAAAAAACAGCATGTAAACTATGGGTTGGGAACCCCAAACCACCTCTCAGGCTTCCAAGAGAGTCGGATTTGCCTTTCAGCATTTCCATCTCTTGGTGATGCCTAGCAAGACCTTCAGCTCCCTAGGCTGCCCAGGACTGCACAAACCCATCATCCACCAGAGTGCCGCTCCTAGCGCTCCATGCCCAAGCGGAGAAAACGAGCCTGCAGAGTGCAACCCACTGCCAAAGGGGTCAGCAAGTCGATGTGGCACCATAGCAGAAGACATGAGAAACCTTAGCTGCCCCCTCCCTGAGAACCGAGGTGGGGGTAGGGTGGGGGAGAACAGTGGAGAGCCCGGCCATTGTCGCCCCCATTGAGCGCTAGCTTGAGCTGGAGGCGACGGATGGAGGGGCCACTGGCGCGTACCGCAATGTTTTGCCGCATCCTGGTGCCCAGAGTAGGCGCGCAGCCCCCTCCTGGGTACCCTGCCTGAGCAGCAGCCTCTCAGGCTGGGTGGCACGGGCGGGGGCGGGGTACTGTGCTCGGTGTCGCGGGGGCCTTCAGTCCCGCTGTGCACACATTTCTCCGCGTGCTCCCATCCCACAAGAGGTAGCTGCTGGAGTTTTCTTTGGCCTTTCTAGATCCGGACATGCATTTGGTGTGCAAGAAGAAGAGATGACTAGTTCAGGCCAGGAGGGGTATAGCACTGGGGCATCAAAGACCCATTTGACACAGTCAGAGTGACTCTATAGTTCTGTTCCCTCGAGCTGTGGCCGGGTCATTGCACCCTGCCACCACCTGCCAAGCCAGCAATAGGATCCTGTTCACCCACCCAGGCAGAAATCAGCTCAACATTTAGAAACCTAGCAAAGTGTCGCTGTCCGGCTTTGCTGGGCTCTCAGAGTTACCCACAGGCTCTTCCACACATATTGCCTATCTTGCTGAGTACCAGCAGTCTCCGAGCAGTCCTCCGGCCACCGCCTGAAAAACCACATCCAAGTCCCCACACAGTGCCTGAGAGTAGGACACTGAGCACAAAGCCCAGCCCAGCAGAAGCCCCGACAGCTCACAGTGCCACAGACCAGGACACTTTTCCTGTTGCCCAGGCTCCTCCAGGGGCAGGGATGTTAAGGAAACCAGGATTCTTTCAGCCCTCTAGAACAAGAGATCACGCCATGGATAGGCAAGTGGGAGGTGTGTGTGTGTGTGTGTGTGTGTGTGTGTGTGTGTGTGTGTGTGTGTGTGTGTGTGGTGTTGGGGGTGGGGGTTTGTCAACGTTTCCACTTTGTCTACTCAACGGACCCCAAACCAACACGACTCCAACTAAAAATAATAAGATACCTGCTTCCCTCTGAGCGCGCGCACATGCACTGTGCCAAGCCCAGCCTGGAAGAGGCTGCGCGCCTTTCCTTGGAGCTCGCACAGCCCGGACTAGAAATTTACTCACCTCTGGAGCCCGAAGTCCTGTAGAGGGCCCACCGCGTTCCGGCTCACTCCTCAGTTTCCGCGGCGGTCTCTAAGATATCGGGATCCAGCTTCTTGGCGCCCGCTTGCCGGTCAAAACCAACGAACAGCCTTTAGCAGGCAAGCAAGCGGGCAGTGGCGCGCGCGCGCACACGGCCAGACACCGCGCGCGCACCCAGACTCTCGCACATAGGCTGCACCTTTACTTACACGCGCCCGAATCTCCGCCCCCGCCTCCGCCCCCTGGCTCTCACGCAACCCTCCCTCCGGACACCCGAACCACTTCGATCTGGGCTCATTCCTGAGCCGCTTGACCCTCCAACAGAAACCCACACTTAAGTCCTTTTCTACCCACGCACTGGGAAAGACAAACGCTTTTCTTCCGGTATCCACCTCGTCTTTTGCCTAAAACATCCCCTAGGAAGGAGCGACCCTGATCCCCAGGCAATGGAACCCTAGTTTCCTAACGCGGTTGCACTAACCTCCATCACCCTACCACATAAGCACACTCGAGTCCGTTCTCTTCCTCCAGCACACTAACAAGGAAAGGAACGAGCGCGCGCACGCGCTCGCGAACACACACACACACACACACAGAGAGAGAGAGAGAGAGAGAGAGAGAGAGAGAGAGAGAGAGAGAGAGAGAGAGAGAGAGAGAAACATACACGAGGTGTTCCGCTGAGAGAGCAAACAAGAATCCAGGAGGATTGAAAAGAAATTTTGGAAAGCCTGGGCTGAGGAGGTGGAGTGGGGGCTGGGGCAGGGGACGGACATTAGGGTCTTCAAATCTACAGTGGAATCGAATAATTCCAGAGTAGAGGGATGAGTCAACAACAATGACATTGAAAAGCACCAGTTGTACTTTGGTTTTCTATCGTGGCTATGGTACCTTTGGCTAATTGTCACCAGGCAGAACAGGGGGCTCTGGGACTATTTCAGTAGCCAAGGATTCTGGATGGAGCCTTCTTGGGACTAATTTCCTGGATCCAGTGGTGTTCGCACTCCCCCTACCTGTCTGTGCGTGAGGGACCAGAAGCTTTAAGGTAAAAGTGTGAGGCTTTAGCCCAAAGTAAGCTTATTTAGCAAGGTTAGGAGATGATTTAATAATTCTATGTATTTTAAAACTCCACAGGCCTTCAGCTAAAAGGCGTTAAGTAGGAATTTAAGGAGCTAATGGCAGGGGACAGGGGATTAAGGGTAGAGGAAAGAGAGGTGTGGGACAGGGAGAAATGATGGGTTTGAAACTAAAGGGGAAGGGAAAAAGGAAATAGAAAAAAAAAACGGGGAAAAAAGATGCTTTGGCTACTGAGCATGCCCAGTTTCGAGCTCAAGCCCTATAACAGAGGCATTGTGTGCATTGCACTTCTCCGGGCTTTGGAGGTGACCAGGAGGAGACTTTGGTTGGGGGTGGCCAGGGAAGGGGTAGATGGGAGTCTTTAGGGAGGGGGTGAAGGATATATGGTTTAGGCTGAACAAAGGGAACTGCTAAGAGTGAAGAAGCAGCGAAACACTAGGGAGATAGAAGAGGGAAAATGATTAAGAAGAGTCACTTCTTTGGTACCCACTTGCCTATATTAATGAGACTTTAGCATCCGACTGTCAAAATCTAAAGGTTGCAGATCTCAACCCTAGATAATCTACATCTCTTGTTCCTAAAGATTAATATTTGCACAAGAGAGTAGGAATGTCCTGAGGAAGAGCTAATTTTCAAACCAGTTTCTTGCAGATTGACAATTTAGTTAAAAAAGCAAAGGGACCCAGGGGAGAAGGAAGGTATCAGTTATGTTGCCTGCACACCTTTCAAATATTTGATTTCTAAACAAGAAACTTTGATTTTCCTTCTTTCCCTTAATTGCTATTTTGTAGGTGTTTGGCTAAGAAAAAAAGTCTCTCTTTACTTTCTGGGTGAAAAATGACTTTAGGTAAATAGGTCCAACTTATAAATGAGATACTTTCCCCTAGAGTTTTGAAAACCCCATTCTTTGCCATAATTCCATTACAACTTTCAGACCTATTTCTTTGAGATCTGTCCTCTGCTCATTTCACTCACTCAAATCTCAGTGTCTCACGCCACAGTCCAGCATAGCCAGTATCCAGAAATGCTTTTGATTAAAAATGATAAATTCATTAAGCTGAAACTAGCAAAAGTTTTGAAATCAGAGTTGTTAGATACCTGAATTCCCAAAGTTAAACATTTTCAGTAATTGGTTGATGTCTAAGGCCCGAAATCTTGGAAAACAAACAAACAAACAAATAGTGGGCAAAGGATTCATGATGCTACTTTCAATAATATCTTACCCTTTACATTATATAGATTTCTGTTTCTGTTTTCTTTATTAATTTTTGTCATTTCATGAAGCAGCCTTCAGTTTATATTCATGCAAATGCAAATCTTAGTTGAACACATTATGTTTAACAGAGATGCATATACATTATTTACATATTTTAAATAGATATATGTGTGTAGACTTATTTCTTCACAAAACTTCATAAAGAATTCTTCCTCTAATAACACTCTCCATTGCCTTGATTTTTTATTGTCTTATCTTTTGAAAACAACTTAGAGGCAGAAATTGAGTGGGCAACAAAGGTAAAATTTGTCATATCCATTGTGAAACCCACTATGAAATAGTGTAGCTTAAAGAAATACTAAAGGATCAGTCCAAAGCAACATGTGTAATGGTGTGTCTTCTCTCACTGATGTGAAATCTGTCTTCTACATAGGTAACAGGTGCAATATGTTGAAAAATTCCTCCACTGTTGTTTATTTGAGCAAAACAGGTCAAGAGCTCAAATTTGCGTTAGATATCATAGTGCAATTTAGAACTGGCGATGGCTAACAAAACAAGTTGGCATTTTATTTTAAATGCAAAGAATTCAGGAAGTTACCATGTACTTTATCAGGCTAGGTGAATTGTTTGTCCTTTTCTATAAATGTTAAAAAGATTCAATAGAATGAACAATTTTGGACAGAAAATATAATGCGAGTTTCAAGTACTGAGGTATCTCAAAAGGCCAGAGTTGGACAGTAAATATCAAATTATTTAAATGCCCAAATTTATTCAACTTTTGAAAGTGTTCTCAGGCTTAACTATATTTAACATCGATAACAAGGGAAAGTTTTGTTTTACACAACTATGGCGAGAGAAATTTGAAAGCAAAAGCATCTAGAACACTGATAAACTGCAATTAATATTACTACTTAGGCTGTATTGGTGATAGATATTCAGTTCCCTAAAATGAAGCTTTAAAATGACATTTTTTCTACTTAAAATGTTAAACATAACAATAAAATAGAAGTAACAGTTATATGCTTTGCGTTTCTTTTTCTTAAGAAGTTATTTAAAATTGAGACTTGGATTCCTGCAGTTGCTTTTCCACTTCCTAGATGTTTGGGTAGTACTCAGGTAAAACAACAGCAAACTCAAAGAAAATTTAGGTATACAGAAAGAAATCCATATAGAAAATAGAAGTGCTAAGTAAACTTTAGTACTATTGATGGTAATTAAAAAAATAGAGTTGATGCCCTTCATGAAGTACAGAAATTCAAATATGCACTGTTTTTTAAGCTACCTCCCTTATTTCTCCAAATGTTGTACTGAATATAATCTTATCTTTATAAGAGTACTTCCCATAATATGATGATTTTCACATATGTTATGTATCTCTCACTGAGGACAAACAATTTCAATAGGAATTTAAATGAGATCTTTAGTATCTTGAGTTCCAAACAAAGTTTCAATTATTAAAAAACAGTAAGTCTACATGAATTTAATGCCAAATCATGGCCTTAAGCACTATCATTTCACTTTTGTAGCATTCCTCAACTTTCTGCCATCACATTTTTACAATCTAATCTTGTAACATGAACGGGGCAAGGCCTGCTTACTTGTGTTTCTGCCTTGCCCGGTTCCCCACAAGTGTTTAGCCCCAAAGAAAAATCATACATAGGTCTTGGAGAATTGTCTGTATTCCGTCAATCATGTTATAAATAAACGCTGATTGGCCAGGCAGGAAATATAGGTGGGAAAACCAGATAGGAAGTAGAAATGATGTAATGAGAACAGGAGAATTCTGGGAAGGAGAAAGTTGATTACTTCCACTCCTGCCCAGACCGCCGAAGCAGCAGGATGTGATCTGCCTCACTGAAAAAAGGTACTGAGCCACATGGCTAACATAGATCAGAAAAATGGGTTAATGAAGAGGTGAGAGTTAGCCAGTGAGAGGCTAGAGCTAATGAGCCAATCAGTTTATAATTCATGGAGACCTATGTGTGATTTCTTTGGGGCTAAACAGTTGTGAGGAACCTGGCAGGACAGAAACCCCCAACAACAACAAACAGAACCCACCATGTTACATAGTCTTAATTTTGGTATGCAGATACAACAAAGCATTAAAGTTAATATGAAATATTTACTCTACATAATCTGGTATTTTAGCAGTTAAGAATTTGGCAATTCTTATTTCTCTAACTGGAACAGGGGAAAAACATTCATAACTAGTTAATAATCTGGGAAGGGATCTTTTCATGATGCAATGAGTTTATAAGTTTGATAGTTTATAAAACTGAACAGGATCTTTTATAAATTTTAGGATTTCTCAAAATATTTAATTACTTTTAAATTAATTTTTATTTACTAAGGTAAAGGGGATGTGGCATGTAGCAAACTTCTTTGACAATTGAATCTACTTATTATTACACTTTAAAAATCTTATACTGATTGTTTATTTGTGCAAATGTAATCTAGGAGGTGAAAGAAAGCATTTGGGTCATAATTTAATGGTATAATGGTAGCTATTACTTAGTGAATGCCTTTCCTTAGCCAGTATTTAGTACAAGTTAGAGTGATTATTATGTTTCTTTAAAAAACATCCATCAGGGAAGCTAAATAATTTCCTGAGGATCACAAAGTAAATTAGTGACAGAATTTGATTCTATGTCTTGCAGTCTTTCCTACTACTTCAAAAGTCCTTTTCTTTAGAGTGGTTTTGGCACCATTAAGTTTAAAAATAGAATAGATTTAAATGCATGATAAATATTCCCAAAGGTAAATACTCAAGACATAATTGTTTTTAAGTATTAAAATATCAATATTTAGCACAAGAATAAATCAATGAAGTGTGTGAAAATCAGTTTATATCAATAATGTATGATAGAATATCTTAAATCAAGCATATTTACCCTTTGCCAATAGTGTGCTTGTGGTATGAATGTGGTCTGCTGGTTCTCAAATCAAGGTGATCTTGTTTCCAATGATGTCTCAGTTGTCCCTTGTTAGGGACAATTCCTTTTGCTACTGCCAAGAGAAATTATGTAAAGGAGTAATGTTCATCCCATGGTTTATTCCAGGCTAACAACAAAAGTCCTCCTATCTAATATGACAGAATGAATTGGAGGATGTGAGTGAGACTGTTTAATCATTTATATAGAATGC